CATGCCACTCCAAGTAATGTTTCATTTGGAGGGGGGGCTATGACCCGGGTCCTTCTTGTGGTCTTTGAGCCCAGTCTTAATATGCAGAAAAGAAATTACAGAAAAAATTGAAAGACACAATTGTGATCTACATCCAATGGTGAAGAGCATATCACTATGCTATTGGATGCTTTGAAGGCTCTAATATGGGGAGTATGTATTGCTGAATCTTGCCAGTTAAAAAAGGTAGCATAAGCTAATAGAAACTGGCTTCTTTTCAAGATTAAAATCTCTAGAACCTCTAGAGGAGGGAAAATCTGAACAGTTGCAAGAATTCACTTATATAAGTTTTGAGCTTCAAACATTGGAGATAAATAGAATATCAAAACAACTGCAATATGTCAACCAAAAATATTATGAATTTGGCAACAAAAATTCCAACAAAATTGTTTTTCCTACTTGTATGAAACGAAAACATGTTAAACATCAAACAATAGCTATGAAAAACAGAAAAGAAAATAAATGTATGAGATTGCTAAAGTTATTAATATTTTAAAATAATTTTAATTCATTGTAAGTATATATCAAACCATAATGAAACTAAAATTAATGATTCAATAGCTAAAGCATTTTTTCAAAAAATCACTGAAGAACACAGACTTTTCCTGTGTAAACCAATTACATCTGAGGAGTTATAGAAATCAATTCAAAATTTAAAACCAAATGAAGCACATGATTTAGATGACTATGGTAGATATTTGTACAAAATGTTTGAAGATCAGCTGCCATCTTTGCTCCTTAACTTGTATAACTCTGTTAGGAATGGCTATCCTCAAGGAATCTAGCCAGAATAATATTAATCAATGAATGAAAGATTCCATAGAAGTTGATTCTTATCACCCAATTACACTGCTACTCAATCAAAATGCCAAATTATTCATAGGCGTATTAGCCAATGAGTACTCACTGTGGTGTTGTTGATAAAGGAATGGACTGGGACCTAGGAGATCTAGGTTCAATTCCCCAGCTCTGCCATGCAAACTCACTTGACGTGTGGAATTGGTAAAACCACTCCTTAAATACCTCACTTACCTTGAAAACCCTAATAGGATTGCTGTAAGCCAGTTTTCACTTGATGGTACATAACATAATCAAATGTTAGTCAATGGATTGGGAGAACTTGCCACAGTATTTATTGAAAAAATCAGTTTGGCTTCATAAAAAGGAGGCAAATTTCTGATCCAGTCAGAAGATTGTTCAAAGCAGTATAAGAGTTCAAAAAATCAACACCATACATATACCACTGCATCGTCTGATGCCTCTAAAGCTTTTGTTAGCTTAGAGTGGTGTTTAATTTGGAAAGGTTGTGAAGCCATGGAAAAAAGGGATTCTTTCCTCAGAATTTTGCATACATTGTATGATAAGCTTTTAGCAATGTTGAGAACTGACAACATGGGCCCTATAAACATCACTAGAGGTATTAAACTAATTTGCCCACTTTCTCCTATACTTTTTGCATTTGCTGTTGAACTATAAACCAATATCATCAGAACAGATCCAAATATTCAAGGAGTCTACTGAAGGGCAAAAATGTGTGATGAATCTATCTGCAGATGACATTACAGAATCTAAATCAGACACTACTGTCCTGCACATTTTCAAAAGTCCTTGTAGAGTTCCCTCTCATTTGACTATAGTTAATACCTTAAACTATAAACCACTGTTACATCTAGTCAAATAAAAACTCATACAATAGTACAGTAATAACTGAATCTATCATTACTGGGTCCTACAGCAGCAAGATGTCAATTCTGCCTAGGTTAAGCTACCTCTTTCAAGCTCTGCCTATAGGGATATAAGATGTCGCTTTAATTACTGGCAGACTATATGTATGAATTTTATCCATGAGTCTAAGAAATCAAGAGACTTGCATGCAGTTAATTTTCATAAAGAAAAAAGTGGAGGATTGGAGGGGTCCCAGATTTTAAAGTCTATTATGTAGCATTCCAGATTTTTTTTAAAACAATTCTGTATACTTGTTGGCTCCCACATGGCTACCATGGGAAATGAAAACTCAAGATCTGGAAAGAACTGGAATGGCTTTTATTTCTTCCTATAAAATTTTATTCCATGCCATTAATAACCAATCCTAATAAGCAATTATGAATGTGCTAAAAATTTGGAAAGACTAGCAAAATGAACTGTTTTCATCCTCATTGACCCCATTCCTTAGATATCCCTTATTTTATGATGTTGAAAATAGGTTCAATTTAAATTGTGGAAATACTATAATTTCTATCAATTATGAGAATTGTATAATAGCTCTGGTCTCAAATTAGAGGATCAAGCAAGTTCATTTGAAACACTGCTACTACTAGCCTCAGAAAACAACCATCAGGGCCTGGCTTCAAAATTAATGAAATACTAATTGAATCCTACCATAGCCATAAATTAGGTCTCGAAATGATTTGGGAAGCAATCTGTGGATGACATACCTGATGAAAAAATGGCAATAACAGAAAGCTAATTCATAAACAATGTATTATCTTTTTTCTGTACGTCTGCGTATTTGGAGATTGCCACAAATTGGAAGAGAGCTTGTCATTTAATTTTACATGCATGGAGAAACAAAATATGGCATACTGCCCTAATGGAAAAATTAACTCATCAGTTCAGATCATTTAAACAACTACACTTCCAAGATGATTTTTTTCAAAATGTCTATTTATTATATTAAAATTTCTATTTATTATATTAATAAAAATTGCAAGACTTATTTTTCACCAGCTTCTTCTGGCAAGGACTGATGGAAGCTGTGGTCTATCTAGGAGACTGCACTCTACAGACACCTTAGAGCTGTAACTAGCAATTTTGGCCTCTGATGCAAGCAAATCAAGATAGGCCTCCTCCCAAATCAACTTTGTGATTCATAATACAAAGAGGTAGATATCGCCTGGAACACTACCAGGATCCTCCATAGAGGGTCAGCAGTACTACCAGAGCTACAGAAACAAATCAGAAAACAAATCAGAAATCTGGTCAACTGAATCTTGAGTCCAGTGTGGCAGTCATAGTCTACGAACATGATGGATAGAGCAGCCTTCCAATGGGGAGGTTGTTTACAAACACGGTCTGAGTAACCCTCCAGTGGGGCAGCCTGATCTACTAATATGATGCGGGTATACTCCAATAGGGAACAGTGGTCTACCCATGTGTTTCAGGCAGTTGTTTCTTGTTTTAATTGGCTGTTTGTTTCCATGGGTCATTTACCGCATTGTACTGTTTCACTTTTGCCAGCTTTGAGGATCATGTTAAAATCAGATTCATGGATTCAAAGCACAGCCGGTAGCTCTTTTCTTAATACTCAGTCATAAGAAACACAAAGATATTTTCACACATACCCTGTTATAAGTTAGATACTGATTTCTGGAAAAATTAAAAAGTCACATTTTAGGTTAATGAAGTAGCTTAAAAAATCTAATTAAACTATGTTTACATTGAAAAAGGATGTTTTCATTGCTTTTTAAGTTTACGTTCTATTACTACAGATCCCTAGTATGGTGTAGTGGATAGAGTGGTGGACTGGGACTCAGAAGACCTGGGTTTGAATCTCCTCTTGGCCATGGACATTCACTGTATGATGGCACTGTTAAAACTACTCTAAATATCTAACTTACCTTGAAAACCCTATTAGGGTTACTATAAATCAGTTCTGACTTGACAGCACATAATATAACATATATACACACACATATACATAAAACACACAGATGCACATGGACAACAAGTTAAGAAGCATAGCTATGCTCTCAGTGTAAATCAGTAAAACGTCAGTAAAACCAGAAGATTATGCCCATTGTAGTAAAAGTTGGTGTAAAAAAAGTCTTAGGGCTTGTCTACAAATGGCGTTAGAAACAGACTGGAGCAGATTAAATAGGGTTGCTAGGAGGTCTTATATGCCACTTGGAGTGATCCTCATGTCCAAATGGCATATGGACCTCAAGTGACTCTATTTGGTCCCCAGCAGCCTGCTGTCAATTTACCAATATTGCGAAGTGGCTTAAGAAGAGAGTCATTTCATGATACTAGCAAATTAATCCTTTCATGAGCTCCATGGAGGGGCTGAGAGAGTGTGTGTGTGTGTGTGTGTATTTTTAAAATGTGCATAAGGGCAGTGAATATGTGCTGCATCATTTTGACAGCAGGCACTGCTCTAATACGCATTTGCTTTCCTAATATGCATTTGCTTTCCATTAGTCTCTTAGGTCTTTAAAGTGATGTAGTGCACATTCACTGTCCTAAGAGACACTTAATTTTCCCCGTTTCTTTGGCCACAGAGCCAAGGAAGTGTTTAATTTGCCAATATCGTGATGTGTTGCTCTTTTTAAGGCAGTTCACGCTACTGGCAAATTAGATGAAGGTTTGCTTTTGTTCCACTTCCACCTATCACATGCACTGGAAATAGACCAAACTAAAGTGATCCGACCCAGACCAAAAAAAGCAGAAGCCCCTGATAGGTGCTCAGAAATGTGCAGGTAGGAACATTATGGGGATGATTTAGTTTGCAATTATTACATGTGATTGCTGAGAAAAGGAACAAACCCATCCATCCCCGCAGTGGTCCAAACAGCAGGCTAAACGCCCATCTGATCACACCTTCATTCTGAGAAGGTGATAGTCTGTAAACTTTTCCAGATATTGTTAGTACATTTGGTCACTATTCTCTCTATTCTACTCAGAGTGGAAGTCAACTGTGCATTTGCTCCTCCTGCTTCAGCAGGCTCCTTTTTATATACTTAACCCCTCAATGGTTGCAAGATTGGTCACATGACAGGAGAAATGCCAAAATTGGAGGGATGCTTATACACCTGCCTTCTGGTAGGATACTGGCTTTTACTGAAATGACAAAAGCATTGCAGGATTTAAACATCATTGCTAGGAGAAGACAACAGTTGTGACTTAGTAGACTTTTTGGATGTTGTAGATTTTCAAAGACATATTTAAATATATTATTTACTCACCATTTGCTTCCGGTTCTCTACCAGATGGATACCGATAATCCCTAGGAAGGATCCAAAGCCAAGCTATGGCAAAAAACCAAACCAACAAGATGTCACGTTAGCTGTGCATATAGAATGAAATAAACTTTAAATATGTAGGAAAATAAAATGTATAGGGAGCCAAAGCACGTACTGTATATGTGCTTTGTACTGTACTTATAATTTCGGATTCCTGAACTGCAAAGAATTTCAGATGGCAGACTGGAAACAATTTCTATCACAAAGAAAGAAAGAAAGAAAGAAAGAAAGAAAGAAAGAAAGAAAGAAAGAAAGAAAGAAAGAAAGAAAGAAAGAAAGAAAGAAAGAAAGAAAGAAAGAAAGAAAGAAAGAAAGAAAGCAGCTACCAACCAGAGCAGGCCATCCTGGACTAGATGGTCCAGTGGTTTGCTTATGTATAAGGGACATCCACATAGCTTCACGTACTGAGACTGGTCATCTGAATTTCATGGGGCTGGCATATCTGCTCTGGAACTTAGTCTGAACTTTACAGAAACTGGCCAAAATGCTGAATCATGTCTTCAAAATAGGCTCAGAACTTTGGATACCTCCAGTAAAGTTTAGGCTAAAACCCAGTCATTTCCATGAAATCAGAGTCACTAGATGCCATATCCATAATCTTATCCATGTGCATTCTCCATCAACTTTCTCAGTAAAATATTGTTAATGTCAGAAACAGAAGCACCTGGCAAGTACCCAGACTGGGGTGATTGCCTCTGGTGGTAGGGTACTTAGGTCAATGGCAGAACGACCACCCTCCACTCACTGCTGCCTGGTCCCCTGATGCCCAGGCCCTCCCAACTACTGGAGCCCTGGAACACTTACAGGGGAGGGAGAGTGATGGGGAAAAAAGAATGATACTGGTGCTAGTAGAGGTGCCACCAAATAGTGGGTTGTCTGGAAATGCCACTAGCTGCCTGTTCACCTTTTGGAGCACAGCTAGGTGTTTGCCCAATACACGTGTGGACAAAATGTGGGCCATGGGCTGTATGACACTCCCCAGGGCTCCCAAGTTTTTTAAAAATTTTTTAAAAGGTTTGGTTTTCTATGCACATACACACCTAAAAACCATCATTTTCTGCTCCAGGTACATTTTTGTTAACCTCAAGGACCAAAACTATTTATCTCTCTTTGCAGGCTTCATAGCGGAATGGGCAGACAAATTTGGTCCCCAAGTTCCCTCAGGTTTGGGGGAGGAGCTGATTTTCAACCCAGGGTACAACAATAGGGCAGCAACAGTGGTTCAAAACCCACCACCATTGCCACGGCTTCCATTATCATCCTCTTCTCCCTTGCCCTCCCTCCCTCCTATGCATCATCAATTGGGGTCATGGGTAGCACGAGACAGCAAGAGGAAAATCTTGTCCTAACCTATACTTGAGTATATTCAATACCCACAATCTACTCTGAATCAACCTCTCTTCAAGGCAGTCACACAGATTGCTCAATGAGCTGAAGGAGCTACTATTTATTTATTATTTATTAATTTATTTATTTGATTTATACCCCGCCTATCTGGACTACCGGACCACTCTAGTCATTTTCTACTAAAGTCATTTTTGTCAGATAATCCTGGCTCAGAGACCAGCAGATCACAAAACAGACTGTCACACTAATACTGGCATACCAGGGATAAATCCTGACACAAATAATTAATAAGTAAAGCTTGAGACATTCAATTGTTCTTTCCATTTATTCAAAATGACTGTGTCTGGTTGGTTATAAACCAATAATGATAAACCTAAACAATTCTTGCTTCACTTCACTTACAATTATTCCTGGGTAATAGCCTCCCACACTAACATTTTCTGTTCTTGTTGTAGCTGCAAGGCCTATGGTCAGTATGAAAACAGACACTATCATCAGAGAGACCGTGAACCAAAGAGAAGTCTTCTTTCTTTTCATGAAATGTCCTGTGGGGAGAAAAACATATATTAGACCCCCACATATACAAATCCCGGGACAGTGGATTGTTTGCTAATTTGTATCCTACGCTTCCTCTAAGGCATGGGTCGGGGAATAGGGGTAAATTACCCCAAATGGGATAAAAGTGAAAATCCTGGGGGTAATGAGCAGAGTGCTACTCCCTCCCTACCTCCCACCCCTACCCTCTGCAGCCAAACCTCAAATTGTAAGCCGCCTCTCCCTGTTACTTCCTTGGTTGCAGCAGGGCACTTGTAAATCCTCTGTTAGTTCAGATATCGGAGAGTTTTTCTTCCCTCTTCTTGAGTCTTGCCATCTTGGAAATATGTTGTTTAAAGTTTAAAATTAATTGTAATAATTGTATTTTTATATATGTTATCTTGTTGTGTTTTAATCTATGTAAGCTGCCCCGAGTAGACGTTGTCTAGAGGGGCAGGGTAAAAATCGAATAAATAAAATAAAAAATAATAAAAAAGATAAGCCTGCTTCATTGGTTATAGCTGTGGATTAGCCCCAGGCAATCAATCAATCAATCAATCAATCAATCAATCAATCAATCAATCAATCAATCAATCAATCAATCCGGGGCTTCTGAATGACTGGAAATGACTGCAAAGAAGCAGGACAAGGGAAAGGATCAAGGAGCAAGCAAGGGAAGGAGGGAAGAAAGGTGCGAGAGATCGAGGACTTCATCAAGCGTATTTAAATGTATGTAGAAAATGGAGGGAGGAAATGGAGGGAGGGAGGAAATGGAGGGAGGGTGGATGGATGTGTGTGTGTGTGTGTGTGAGGGGGAGAGAGAGAGGGAGGGAGGGAGAGAGACTGACTCAAAACTATGAAAAAGAGCAGGCAAGAAAAAGAGAAACCTTGAATTAAGGCGGGGGGAGGGTGGCTTTTTAAGGTGCTGTCTAGGTTTATCATTGCTTTCCTTCCAAGAAGCAGGCATCTTTGAATTTCGTGGCAGCTGTCACCCTCTGCACTGATCATGGAGCCCAAGAAAGTAAAATCTGTCACTGCCTCCATATCATCCCCTTCTATTTGCTATGAGATGATGGGACTAGTGGCCATGATTTTAGTTGTTTTGATGTTCAGCTTCAAACCATTTATGCATTCTCATATTTCACCCTCATTAAGAGGTTCTTTAAGTCCTCACTTTCTGCCATGCTTTTGCGTAGTCAATGAAGCAGAAGTAGATGTTTTTCTGGAACTCTCTGGCTTTCTCCATAATCCAGCACATGTTAGCAATTTGGTCTCTAGTTCTTTTGCCCCTTTCAAAATTCAGCTTGTACTTCTGGGAGTTCTTGGTCCACATACTGCTGAAGCCTACCTTGGAAGATTTTGAGCATAACCTTGCTAGCGTGTGAAATGAGTGCAATTGTACAGTAGTTGGAGCATTCTTTGGCACTTCCCTTCTTTGGGAATGGGATGTAGACTGATCTTTTCCAATCCTCTGGCCACTGCTGAGTTTTCCATTGATGATGATAAAAAAAAAGCACACTGATCCTTTGATATTGGGCTGTGGCACCAGGGTGGGTGACATGACCTTTAGCCTGGTTTGTTCCTTTTTGCACACCATACATAGAATGATTAAAGCCAATTCTGTGTTGGCTGTCTCTAGCAAGCATGTCATTGCTAGCACCACTCTGGCAGCCACTGATGATGATTAAATCCTCTGCGAGCTAGCAAAAATTTAATGCAACTTGCTAGGCACCGTTGGACACCTTATTACTCCCTGTACCACACCATGGCTGGAGTGCAATGTGTTCCAGCAAAAATAGTGCACATCTCTATCAGATTTGGTGCATCCTGCTAGTTCAGTACACAGCCTGTGTAAATTCAATAATATTTTTAATTCAAATCATGTATGATTTCCTTCCTTTTGAATCAAGGGGGTAATGTCGGCGTATATAAATTTTTGGGGGTGTAAAAGGTAAAAAAGTTCCCTGACCCCTGCTCTAAGGTGCAAAAAGTGGTGTAGCAACATTATGCCAAGCCCAGAAACAATGGTTAGAGATAGCCTGTGTCTGGATGAGGGAGACTATTAACTAATGTGAGCATCTTTCCCCTCCTGGGTTTTGCAGATTAGTTCTATTTCCTTTGGTAGTATTCTGAACCTAGGCATGTGATTCCTTCGAAGTTTGATTTCACAGATACATAAATTCTGCCTCAGTTACTTCTCTATAACACTAGCGTCTGTTCAACTCCACTTATGGGCAATCTTTAACATCTGTTCTGGCCCAGTCTGTCAGGAAAATAACAATTGGAATAAATCCACCCAACAGTCTTAATGAATGTGGCTCCAAAGTCACATTCACCATTTCCTTGGTGCTTGTAGGGAGCCCACTGAGAGAGATGAGCAAGGTCAAAACCCAAAGACGATGATGCTACTCTCTCTCTCTTTTTTCTTTCTGTCTTCCCTTTCTCTCCCCTCCCCCCGTCTGATACTCACTTCTCTCTTTCTTTCCTTCCCTTACTCCCCTTATATAACTTGTATCTTTCTTTCTGATACTTCTTCTTGATCTCTCTCCCTCCACACAAGACAAGCTACTGAAGAAGAGGCAGGACACTCTTACCAAAAGTTTTAAACGATCATTTACATTATGCAGTTGAAACTACTGCTGAGGGCTTCAAGATGCCCTAGTGTGGGCGGCATATAAATTGAAAAAATTAATTAAATAAATTATGCAATTGAAACTAATGCTGAGGGCTTCAAGATGCCCACTCTTGTTTCAGAGGCAAAGCAACACATGAAGAAGGCAGAATATCTGTGATCACATTTTTAAAAAATTGCTATAAGAAGACCCACAAGGATCTGGATCAGCGTCATTGTGCGGGTGGGGGAGCCATTCTTACATTGTACAGTTTTCCAGTATGGCTCATCTCCACACACACCCCTCCAAAGTTGCTGTTACCCTCAAAGCTGGAACTATATACAAGGATATTTCACATTTCATCTCATGGGGTGGTAGTAACTACACCATATTGGCTCTTTAAGTAGGAATACCAAAGATCTAAGAGTTCTTGGGTAAAGATTTTCAGGTAGCTAGTCTTCAGAGTTCCATTCATCTTCTCTCTCTTCCTCTCACATATTTTGTTTAAAAGATGCACTCCAGTGCAAACGTACAGTATCTGAGCAAAGCCCAATTGATTCAATGGGACTGACTTCTGAAAAAGCATACAACAATATCCTGCAGCTAACGCTTTCCAAAGATGTAATATAATATGAATAAAGCAAGCTTAAGTGTTAGGCTTTGATGCATATAATTAAATCAAACTAGCGTTCTTTTTTAAAAATATGAAAAAGCACCTGGGAGAACAACGAAAAGAGAAGCAATTCTGAGAAAGATACCAGTTGTTTCTACACCCTCTATCCACTTCCCAAAAACTTCTAACTTCACCAAGCATAGAGTTGCAAATGCATATTTAAAATAAGCATATGAACATGTATTCAGAGGAGGGGGGATAGTGCAGTTTATTTAAAGCTGACTTAGAAAGTATAGGAAGGGTTAAGCATCCTCTCATCCCACTCACATCTTTATTCTAAATTACCTCTTCTAAACTTATGCTTTCTTTTTCTTTCTTTCTCTTTTCTCAGTTTTAAAGGGCCTTTTAGAGGTTCTTAGCAGCATCTATATGGAACATTGAGTTAAGCTCTATAGAAAAGCAAACTTCACTGAAGAACAGCCATGTTTCAGGGTTATAAAATGAAAGGCCATCATTACTCTGAAAAGGCTCCTTCAGTAACTCCCCCTCCCTTTAGCGCAAGATTTTCAATGGATGCTGCTATTAAAGAAGAATGGCATTTATCTTCAAAGGACTGGGAGAACTGAAGCATAACTCCAAAGTGACAAGCATTCTTGAGGGTCAAGCTGGTACTTCGAACTTGGACTCTTTTAAACACAAAACACACTGAAAGCAGGAACATTCACACCAGAAACAAAAGGAGACTTTCTCAACTCTTGCTGCTGCTTAAGATTCAGATTTTTCTGAAATAGTGTTTTATAATATACAACTCCAACTCTAAATTAACTGCATATAGTTACAGAATAGATGTAAGAAGATGTTTCCAAGCAAAACATTTGTTAAAAATTGAGATAGCAAAAACATCTAAGTTTCTATAGCTCCTTGTGATGTGCCCCTGTGTGTCCCCAGATTATTTCACTAACCTGAGGCCCACAACACGTACCCTCCTTTACACTGTTAGCAGTTGATCTCTGTCAACAATGTTCAATTAGAAAGACTGAGGTCCATGCTGAGTGTAAAGTTTAACAAAACCAGGTTTATTGGGTACAGTTCACTTAAACAGGTTCTTCAAAGACATTAAAGTACATTCAGTAGTTTTGTAATAACTTGTTTCACTCTTCTCTCTATAAGTTCCACACTCTTAACTGCCTTCCTTAACTCCTCACTCTACCACTCTAACTTCCACAGACTTACTGCCTCCCTTAACTCCTCACTTTACCACTCTCTCTAACTTCCACAGACTCCCTGACTAACTGCCCAAAACTCTTCTCTTCTCTGTCTCACCCCTCCCTTCTAGTTTCTCTGGCTCCACCTCCCAACAGCTCCCATTGGTGCACGCCAAAAGCTCCTACATGAGCCAAAGCAGGGTGATCGCTACAGTCCTCCCCCCCTTAAGAAGTTTGCTTTATGTGGGGCTACCCATCAGTTTACCCTCATAAACAAACAGCTGAGTACATGCAAATTTAACAATATCTTACCAATACTTATACATACCTTATATTAAAATTTTCTCTCCATTACTATGTTTACTAAATCAAACTTAGACTTTAAACATTTAAGACAATCACTACAGATAAAACATTTGCATTTAACATTAAAAAAATTCTCTAATCATTAGGTCTTCGGGACAAAGCATCCGCAACCACATTCAGGGATCCTTTGATGCTTCAGATTTCAAAATCAAAGTCCTGTAGAATCAGGGTCCATCTGGTCAATTTACTACTGTTAGATTGCATAGTCCTCATCCATTTTAAAAGCGAATGATCAGTGCAGAGAATGAACTTCCCCATACATAGGGCTTTAGTGTCTGCAGTGTCCAAACGATGGCTAAACATTCCCTCTTGATGGTCGATAAATGCCTTTCGCTAGGTTGGAACTTTTTGCTCACATACATTACAGGATGTAAAGTCCTGCTGTCATCTGATTGGCATAGTACAGCTCCAAGTCCGACGTTGGATGCATCAGTGTAGACGGTGAATTCCTTGATGAAGTCCGGCGCAACAAGAACAGATCCTGAAGTCTGCACTCTCTTCAGACTATCAAAAGCCATCTGGCACTCTGAAGTCTACAATATGTCCTCAGCTCACCTATTCTGGGTGAAGCCTGATTTCTTTTTAATTAGTGGCTTCGCTTTCTCAACTTTAGGAAGGGTAGGCAGTTTCTCAAATTCTTCCAGAACAGCTATGGCTGCGTTTTTCTTTGAAATGTTCTTGCACTTGCCTTTACTCTCATCAATAAACTCACCTACAGGTACTCCAATCACAAAGCTCTTCATATGAGGGGGACCACTATCACGGGTCACCTCAAAATTCACAGGCAATTTTCTTTTAAGTGCAATCTCAAACACTTGGCTTATTTCAGATGTATTTAGATTTTCATCATCTGGTTCTATCCCATTAATCTTTGGTTTCTCAGAGCACCTCCCAAGTTTTACTTTGCTATTTCTAAGGATTTTTTCAGACCCACGTGTTGGCAAGGGGGCGAGATCACTAGTATAGTGATAGCATAGCTTAGCTTAGCCCTAGTCTTGTCATTTTTTTGGTTTCTCAGAGCACCTCCCAAGTTTTGCTTTGCTATTTCTAAGGATTTTTGCAGACCCACGTGTTGGCAAGGGGTCGAGATCACTAGTAATGGGCATAGCTTAGCCCTAGTCTTGTCATTTCCAGTACCTTGCTTTTGGCAAGTATCACAGTTTTGACAATATTGTTTCACTTGATTCCCCATTCCAGGCTAATAAAAATTCTGTGCCCCTCTTTGCTTGGTGTGAGAGATGCCCATGTGTGCCCAAATACATCTTTGTGTACCTTTTCCATGAGTTTCCTACTTTAAGACATTTTGGGTTTGCCAAGGATTGCTATAATTTTAATGTTGTTGTGTCTTTCAAACTGTTCCCAATTCCAAAGGTACACTTTTTGAATATTGTGCTCATTAGCAGAACATTTGAACACATATTCGTAATCCAGGTTTCAAGATTATTCTCCCTTCACGTGTTATTGAAACAGAAATCTACAGTACAAAGAACCTTCTACTGGAATGATTTCCTTTGATTTGGTGGCAGCTGGCAACACGGTCAGTTTTCATGAAGACTCCCCCCCCCCCCCAGGTCACAGATATTACAAATAAGCTCTGCAACCACTCAGCTTGCTGTAACATCATTCACTTGAGAGGGTGCAAAGAAAGAACTATCTGTCTTGTTGACTCAACAGAGTGTATTGACTCCATCATCAGAACAAAACAAGCAGAAGAAGCATGAAAAAACTTAGAGCACAAAATTTGCATTGTGGTCTCTCCATCTCTCTCTATGAAGGCACAAATGTCTGTTGTGGCCAAGAGTGCCTTTTAGCAACTCTGGCTGATTGCTCAGCTGCACCCCTACATGGATAAAAAAAATTACTTAGGAAATCTCTAAAATAGACTAATGTAATGCTCTCTACATAGGACTACCCTTGAAATTGGTTTGGAAACTCCAGCAGGTACAAAATGCAGCTGTCAGACTGATTATAGGCACCAGCAGTTATGAATACTGTACTAAATATCCCCAGTCTTGGCATGTATTCATCGGCTCCCTCTTAGAGACTGGCACGAATCGCCAAAGCAGTGGTTCACACTGGTTCGTCCTTCAGCACTTCCCATCCCTGCCTCCTCTGGGTGCTGCCTCAAAGTGGGTGTTCGCCAGAAGAGGCAGGGCTGGGAAGCGCCAAAAACCTCTCTGGCCAAAAGATGAACTGGCACAAACTGCTGGTTCGATAGTTCGTGCCCACCTCTACTCTCTACTCAGTCTCCATGATCAGTTCAAAATGTTGGTTGAGGTATAAAGCCATTAATAGATTAAGACTGTCTCTCCCACAAAATAGCTTCCTGTCTCACCTGCTACTTGCAATCCTTGATGCTAAAAATTGTAAGGAGGCCAAAATACCTAATACCAGGAGCCATGCTTGTTCAGTTGTGGCACCATTCCTCAGGAACAAACTTGCTACAGAGGTTTGTCAGGCGTGTTCAGAATATTAATTAAAACCAAACTGTGTAAAGCCGCCTTATACTAGTATTTTAACTAATTGCCTTGGGATGTTCACATTTATTTTAAATTTGTTCAATTTATTTAAATTCAGATTTCCTTTGTTCAGCTAGAGACAGGGTTTTTATTGTATTTATTGCATTTGTGGGTTTGCTTGTTGTGACGGTAGCGATGATGTCATCTGCCTGTCATTGCTGGGCCTGGAGTTCATCTGCCTATAGCATGACAGGAGGTGGGACTTCAGAGGGTGGAGCCATGGTATTTAAGGGGGGAGTGAATGAGGTGAGAGTCAGATAGGGCTTAGATAGGGCTTAGATAGGGTCCAAGATAGGGACATGATATGAACCAGTTAGGGCTTATATAGTTATAAAGTACTGTGTTAGTGAAGGTCTGAGAGAGAGTGTGTATGAGGGGATACTTTATTATTTCAGATTGCCTTTTACTTTAATTGATAAAGTGATTTACCATTCCTTTTGTTCTCACAAATAAACATACGTTTTTATTTTAAAAATCATTTATTTTTCTGAAGAGATTAATGAGGGAATGGTTGGTGGCAGCGTGAATAAAGTGTGTCTATGTGAGAGCGACGTGACACCTCCTTTGTGACGTGTGAGGAGGCTGTCACACTTGTCTAATTGTAATCAAGTTTGGATGGGTTGTAAACTGTCCAGAGACTGTTCACACTGACAGGGTACTACAGAAGTCAAGACAGACAGACAGACAGACAGACAGACAGACAGACAGACAGAGACAATAGATAGATAGATAGATAGATAGATAGATAGATAGATAGATAGATAGATAGATAGATAGATAGATAGATAGATAGATAGATAGATAGATAGATAGATAGATAGATAGATAGATAGATAGAATCTGTACATTTTGGAAGTTAAATTAACAACTCGTTAATTTCTTTTTTAAAATTTTTATTTTATTTTTAACAAAGGGTAACAAAAAGGAAAAGGGGAATTGAGGTTAAGATGGAAGAGGAGAAACAATAACATACTAATATCCATTCTATACATATTGCCATATCAAAATTCCAACTTACTCTTTTTACTATTTTCTGCTTTCCAGATTTAAGTTCTCATTTCAATGTATGCTCCTCATACGCTGCCTGTTGACTCAATCCATTTGTAGAATACGTAATTCCCATCTTTCTGTTGCCTTTTGTAAAGGACAGTCCTTCATCACTTTTGATAAAATGTCCATTTCCACTGTTTCCCGTATCTTCTCTATAAAATTTTCTTGTTTCCGTACTGTCGGACTTTTCCAGTTTTTGGCATAGAGAATTCTGGTTGCAGTGGCTATGTATATATAACTATATATTCCTTTGTCTTATCTATGTTATCAGGTATCATACTCAATAAAAACAGTTCTGGGGTTAATGGCACCAACAAATCATTAATTTCTTATGGTCCTTGCTTTACTGCCTTGTTGCATTTAAATTGTTTTAGGTGGCACTTAATTTAACAAATCATAAATTTAAATGTAATTAATGGTGCATTGTGTGCTAAACTAATTGTGCTAGATTAATAAAGTGGTGTTAGATTTACCTTTGCTGCTTCTTATCAAATACTTGACTTGTGTGCAGAAACTAATTACACAGATACTTCAGTTGACCCCCAAGGCAGAAAACTTTCTCAATCCACATTTTTATCTTATAAATTTGTACAGATGAATGCTGATGTTAAAATTGTATATGATAGTGCTTAACTCATTAAATTTTTAAAGGGTGACATATACCCTTATTTGATGTTCTAAGTAGCTCAGGAATACCACATTATCACTGTAACATCATAGCTTTGGTGTCAATTACTTATTCAATAAATAATTCAATGCCTGGTTAAAATAACAGGATGGTTATTTGTCTTTATTTCACAGTTTTAATGAAAACTTCAGTTACAGGAAGAATAATTTAAACAAAGGTTTTCTTTTGCCTCACATACACCAGCACAGGTGAACGAAACATGTAAGAAATCTAACTTTGACGTAATATTTCTCTAGTGTTATGACAAAAATTGCTTATTTCATATTAATGCTACTCACAAAAGAATCAATGAATTATATTTTACAAGTATTGGTTGTTGTTGTTGTTATTAATGTATATTAGGGAAGCAATATAATATTTACTTTTCCTTTATGTGACATTGATATTACTTTATAAGAATACCAGCTAAGATGGTGGCATGCAGGGAAAAAAACCAGTAAAAATATTTTTTCAAAGAAGTAATCAAGGATAAAATGGAAACATAAATCCAGTTGTAATGTGAATATCACAACACTTGTATCGAGGAATAAAGGCAGAGTTTTTGCTTCCTTTAAATAGCCATGATCCATTGCATCAATAAACACTTTGGAAACAGAAGAGAGCTAGTATAGTTCGTTGCTCTCTTAACACAGAGTTCAGGCAGTAGTCTTGACTGTTGGACCGCAATCAATATTTTCCTACTAACAAGAGGGAGGTATCAGCAGCATCCTTAGCAGAAATTCAAGGTTTGCATGTTACTAAAATATATATATTGTATGAAGAAACCTAAGGGGAGAAAAGGCCCTAAACACAAGCAGAGAGAGACCCAAGTCACTTCAGAAGCCACAGAATATTGCCTGTCCAAGGTAGGGCTGCACTGGAATATCAAACAGGAGGTGTGCGGTTTCCTGAAACTTGATATGGAGAGCTGGCTGACAACCTGGACACCAACAATTTGTTATAAGTTCCACTAGTCGTGCTCTAAGGAAACCTCTGCAGAAGAACAGCAATTTTTTTTTCATTTTAAAAAACCAAAACATTAAAAAGTGTGGGTGTGGCAGGGGGGGATACAACATCATTTATGTTTTTTCTATTCTGAGTTCAGTGTAAAAAGAATAAATGCATATGCTTCCACAGTACAGCTCCACAGAAACAATCCCATCACACTTTTTGAATCTATCTTCTCTTTCTTCCTCTGTTCTTTAGAACTTCTGTACAGCTTCCCAAAGATGCACAGACTAGTTCTACTCACAGGAAGTACAGTGGAGAATCAAACTGCCAA